GCTGCCCTCGCCCTCCATCCCGGCTGCCCTGGCCCCCCAGCCTGGCTGCCCTGGCCCCAGGGCCCGGCTGCCCTCACCCCCCGGCCCGGCTCCTTCCGTGCCCATACTTCGGATAAAAGACCCTTTCCTACACTCTCCCTTCTCTTTCATCCTGAGGAAGAGTTGCCGAAATTATTTTTTCCCCTCTTCCTTTTAGTCTACAATGGATTTTGGATAAACAAGATCTGTTGAAGGAGCGCCAGAAAGACTTGAAATTTCTGACCGAGGAGGAATATTGGAAGCTGCAGATATTTTTTACTAATGGTAAAGCTGCTTTGCTTATTTTTTATTATTATTATTTTTTACATTTCAGCCATAAAAGCCTGTGCAAGTTGGAATTGCATAGAGAATGAAATGTTTTACGTTATGGTGTTAGTTGTGCTCTCACAACCTCTTCTAACAAAGAACTGGGATGCCAGTAATGTTGTCTTTCATCAGTTGCACTAACACAGGCAAATTAGCTGCATACATAATGTTTTAAGTAGTTATGGGGCAAAACATAGTACATTTTTGTATTTTCAAGAGGTTGTTACCAAAAACATCAGGAGAAGCAAGCAGAAGCTGCTAAGCTGGGGTGTGAAAGGCTTAGTGTCAAGTGTTAATAATACTCAAACTGGGCATTTCGTGGGCTCCTGTTTTATATCATCTGTCCAGCCCTAGTAAACAGCAAAGCTTGGGAACTTGTTATTTATGTTCATTTATGTTCTTTGAAACCTGCACCACAGCCTGTGCCTTGCCATGTGACTGGTTCCCCAGCACCGTGTGGCTCTTAAATTGTCTTCAAGTTTCTGAGAGCTGTTGGCAGGCAGCTTATTCTCCCCAAGGGTCTGGAACTTGTCTGTGAAGTTACCTAAGGCCTACTTCAGTCTTCAAAGCATTTGACCCATCTGAATGGCTGCACTGGAGCGTATCACATTACGCAGGCACTTAAGCTCTTTCCTTTGCAATTGTTCAGCATTAAAAAAAAAATACCTCCTCAAGTAAAAGTGATATTGCTAAGTAGTAATTTGTTTGCACACAGGTCTTTAAATATTTTTCCCAGCCATCCTTTTAATGTACAGAATACTTAGTTTTTCAGCTATCTGGCCAGAAGGGCTTGAGACAGAGAAGTTAAGTGACTTTCCTAAGGCTACTGGAAGATCTTATGTCAGTGCTGGAAATATATCTGTCAAAGATACTTCCCCAGCTTCTGTCTTAGCCTAGCTATTTTTATAATAATTGTGTATGCTGCAAATCTGATTGCTGGGGATACATCTGTGTTACTGCTTACATGGCACAAGGAAGTCAAGCTAGCCATGTTTTACCTCCCTGATCAATTCCTGAAGCTCCGTAATGCAAAAAAGAAAACGAGGCACTGATATTTCTGAAGCTGTATTTATAAGGTGATTTTCACTAGTATTCATTTGAATCGTGCAACATGCTTTTTAAAATGTTTCTCTGCAGTGTTTTTCTTGAGTAAACAAAGACTTACAAAGTGGACAAGGTGGTTTCAGTTGGCGACTCTCGAGCTCCTTTTCCCTGATGCTCCTTGCTCAACCTGAAGGCACAGCAGCAGCTGGAGAGGGGCTCTGCCAGCATCTCCCATGTGTGCCTACAAGCACAACTTACCCTGGGGCAGAGAGTGGTGCTGGGCACCCATCCCTTCTGTAGCAAAGAGAGGCATCTTCATGGGGAGGACAGTCAGGGGCTGCTCTATCCAGATGGGAGCTCAGGCAGAGGATGCCATGTTCAAGCCCCTGGTATGTGTTATATCATCACCTGCCTCTGAATCAGGACCCTGCTTTGGGCTTATAGAGCCTCTCCCACCTCCTGCATCACCTGGGTAGGGATATGAGTCTTGGCCATGGCTTGTCACATTCATTATGTGTCTGCCCAGGAGATGGATGTTCCCTAAAGCAACCAAAACATTACCTGGAGAGACAGTTTCCTGCTGCTTTCTCATTGAAAAACAAGTGCAATAGATCACAGGCTGATTTTATGGCCATGCACAGCTACTCAGAATGTTAATACTGTAGAGAAGGAAGACTGTCATCTTCTAAAATAGGATGTTGATTTCTCTCTTTGAAATGCCAGGTCTTAATAGACTTCTTGGTTGCAAAGTGCATTAATTCCTTTCCCTTTCTAGTTTAGGGCAGAAGCTGTAATGTTTGTGTTACAGGCTACTCAAGACATTAAAAATTAAAACAATCTTTTTTTAAAAAAAAAAAAAAAAAGCCAATGAAACCACTTATTTTATAAAGGAATAATCCAGTGGTTTCCTTAAAAATATTTAAAAAATTAATTACAAGTATTGGACTTTTTCCCAGCATGTACAAGCTTCCATTTCATTAAGTCTCTCTAGGCTCTTGTCCATTTTTTTCCCTAAACCACACTTCTCTGACAGCAGATGGCCTAACCATTTCTGAAAATCCCATGGGAGTGAGAAACATATTTGGAGAATTCTGTTCAGCTTAATCTTTGGATTTTTCTAATGCCCTAGCAGTAAGACAGCTTTGTAGCCCCATGGTCAAATCAAAGGAAAAAATCCTTTCAAACCTTCCAAGATACACTGATAAATATTCTAATATTTGTACAAATGTTACATACTGAGTTTAACCTCTTTTCTAGCAGTATTGCTTGTCCTACTGTCACTGGTAAGCTAGTCTCAATTTGATATTCTTGTTTTTAGGAAGAGAGATATGACATGGACAGGGTCTTTATGTTGCTTTGGGGAATTCTAGTGGGTGACAATTAGTTACGTATTTCTGCAGGGAAAAAAAAAGGTTGCCAATTGTCAGTGCTGTTTGGAGTGGTTTTCTTCTCCTACATTCAACCCTCTTCTAGCCAACAATGTCCTTGGTATTTTCATGTTCTAAAGTTCTGTGATGTTCAGTAAAAGTATACCCTGACTGTTCCCTAGGGATACAGGGATAAGAGCTTGAGGAAAGAAATCTGAACTCATGCTTAAGTAGAGACTAAGACTTCAGTGCTGACTAGTAACAAATAGTTTGCTTTTCCTGTCAGTGGTCACTGTCTTGATCTTGCTTTGCATATTTTAAATATAAATTTAACTGTATTTTAAATATAAATTTAAGTTTATTTTAAATATATATTTAAGTGTATTTTAAATGAGCAGTTTGGACATTTCTGGTGAGGGAGGGGAAAAAAGAAGAGAGTCTTAACACAGCCAAGCCCTGCTCTAAATAGAAGCCGTGGAGAAGTATGGGAAAAATAGCAAGCAGCAACCTTATGTTTCACTCTGCCATTCTCTATATCTGACCCCTGCTCTTAATCCCAGCTTGATGCATCTGATTTGCTTGGCACCTTTCCTTTGCCTGGGAGGCCAAACAAGAGCTACCTGCACAGATGACACCAGGGTTGTTTCTTGGCCAACTGGCAGAAGACCACTGTGATGGAGCAGCTGACTGCATCCTCTGGTCTCCCACCCCCTCTCCCTAGACTGAATATGTAATTTTTTTAACACCTGCTGCCTCTGCCAAATGCAATGACCATGTTTGTGTTGGCAGCTTTACTTGTTTTAAAAAACACACAACACATGCATTTTGCATAGCACTGAAAAGGCATAGACTTAGGTTGTAAGTATTTGAATTTGTTTTGCTCTAAAATGGAATACCCAAGCTCTACCCTTCTGAGATGTGTGTTGCCATCTTCTTAAAGGTCACGCTCACTTTGTACACCGTGAAGTCGAGTTACATTTCCCTTTTTAAAGGTGTCCTCAAGTCAGGATGCAGTGCTGATTCTTCACCTGTAGGTTTACAGCAACATTTTGTGTCCCCAGAGGGCTGTATCTGAACTAAGGGAGAAGACTGTGCTGCTGCTCCTTAGAATTCCCAGCACTAGTCCTGTTTTGAGATCCTTTGCTAATTGGTGTCAGATTGTTGTAAAAACTCAACTCAAGCTTTTGTTCATTTTTTTTTTTTAAGTTATCCAGGCTTTAGGTGAACATCTTAAATTAAGACAACAAGTTATTGCCACTGCTACAGTCTACTTCAAGAGATTCTATGCCAGGTAGGACTGTTTACTATGATGGTATGAGAATAAAACATTTGATAGGCACATTTTGGTAGCCCTTTTAAAATGCAGTTCTGTATTAAAAACAGTGCCACTTTTGTTTTCTGGATGGTGTAAAGCTTTTGTGCTAATAAAGTTAACGTAAGCTTTGCTTTTTCAAAAGGAAGTGTGGTGCTCTTAATAGATTAATCGTTCTACGTGTATGAAACAACATATTATAATTTTGTTATAACATTTCAGATATTCCCTAAAAAGTATAGATCCAGTATTAATGGCTCCTACGTGTGTGTTTTTGGCATCCAAAGTAGAGGTATGAAGTATTACAATTTTTTAATGTAAAAATATGTGATGTATGAGAGAGAGAAAACGTTTAAGACTTTTAAAATTTTTGTCATTCTTCATGCTTTGGGGTTTGAAACCTTCTCTTTTTTATATGGATTTCTATAGCAATTTAAGAAAAGGAGATGGAGAAGGCCTTCAAACATGTTATTTAGTATTTGGTCTTTCACAATTTCATCTGAGTTACTAACCCTGAAGGACCTCTGAAAATTGGAAAGCATTTTAAATGCCTGTTGCACTGTGATACAGTGTTTACATATTTACATACACTATCTCTTAAATTGTGCAGTGTGGCCTTTCTGGTGTCTTTTTCCTTATTTATGTTTACTCAAACTTTAAAACATAATTTAAAAATTTCTCCTAATTACCCTTTTCCCTTTCATATAGTGAGGGATCCTCAGAGTTTACCACACTTTCATTACTTGAATTAAAAGTATGTTGTAGCTCGTATGGTGTCTTTGAGAATTAGGTGTAGTGGTGAGAAAGCTCCATGCCTTTACCTTGAGAAGTCCACTTTAAATGTGGCCAAGAGTTAGCAGCAGCTGGGTGCTGCCCTTAGTCCTCTGTAATGCAAGACATGTTTCAGCTGTTTGAGAAGTGTCACAACTTGGCTGGTTTGTGATATGTCAGCACTGAGGAGTTGTGCAGGAGGAACTCCAGGACCTAGCAGCTGGTAGCAGCAGTCCTACTAAACCAGTGTTTACACACGATACTGTTGCCTGTACAAAAGCTGTGACACATTCCAGTGTTTGGCAGAGATGAAGGAAAGGAGAAAAATGCAAAATATTGGAGCAAGTGTTTTTTAACAGCCTGTTAATTAAGCCTATAGGGAAGTGTAAATGTAGAGTGTACGTACACCAATTTACCTTATATACCAATTACTAGAGGTCAGTGCAGCCTTCTTTACTCTGTGGCTTCTGCAATTCCAGAGGGCAGCTGCAGTGGTAATGGTTGTGCTATGCACTTCTCTGAAGGAATATTTTATATGGAGAAATTTTTCAGCTTTCTGACTGTCTCAGCTGAAGAGCTTAAGGCTTTGTGGAAACATAAAGAAAAAGGATAGTTAATGACAGGTTTCTAAAAGCAGTTTTCTCTCCAAGCGGGTTAAAGAAAAACAACTTACCTTGTTGAAACCCTCTATTTCTATTTTACATGTAGTTTTAGCCAACTAAGCTTTAGTACCTTTCAGAAATGTTTACTGTCCCTCATAACTCAAATAGCAGAGTATCTAATAAATAAAAACCCTCTTTACCTACAGTCCTTTCAATTACTCTGTTCACCTTAAGAAAAAGAAAAGGAAAGAAAAAGGGGTGGGGGAAAAATACAGCATAAAGAAGCCTAGTTTAGTAAGAAGCCATTATTTTAATTTAATAACACTGAGTATATGGTATTTCAGGTGTTTCACCTCATTTACCATTCTTTTTCTTCAGGAATTTGGTGTTGTTTCAAATACAAGGTTGATTTCTGCTGCTACTTCTGTATGTAAGTATAAGTGATTTTTATTCTGTTGTAGTTAGGTGTCTCTGTAGGGACATAGAGGCTTTTGTTGTGGTTTTATGTTTGTTTTTGAAAGGTAGCCTTTTACCAAGTCATGGAGGGCTTGCATGTTGACTGCTGGAAGCCAGTTAAAGCTATACAGAATAAATAATAACTTCTGGTTTTAAAGATGGAAACAGAAGAGTTCTTCCTCTATTAGTTTTGGTTGATTCTGGTTGGAACTTATGCAAAGCATAAATGAAAACAAAGGAATAAACCATTGAGGTTTACAAACAGTCTTGAGTAGTAAAGTTATTTCTGAACTACTCAAAAATAGAACTGGAAACTTAGGGCTTTATTTGTCTGATTTATAGCACGTATACTTCCAAGGAAGTACCTGCTTTCAGAATTGTTGGTAGGCTCTGTACCTCCTCGTTTTTTAATCCTTTATTCCCATCATAAAATTAGTCTCTGCACATGGTGTTTATTTCTAAAAATATGTCTTATAACCTACATATTATTCACAAATAAATGCAATAAAATTGCACTGTAGCTACTTCCTTCTCTTATCTTTCACACCTGCCTTAGACTTCTCAGTAACTTGCATCTCATCCAATAAGGTCTTAAAGTGATGACTTCCTTAACTGAATGCTATAGTTTGACTCAGGAGGTCCAGCTGCTCTCAGTGGGCAATTTCTGGCTGTGCTCTTCAGAATGTAGGTCAATGCTTTCAAAATCCCTCTTAGCTTCTGAGGGGACAGGTGACTGGCTGCATCTGTAGCCTCCACATGCAGTAAGTGTATGGGGCCATGAGGCTGGCTGTGTGACAGACAGTTCCACCACCAGGAACTGAAATGCATTTCAGTGCCAGCCTGACCAAGGCCAGTACTGGATTTAGCAATAAGCTGCTATTTTTGCAGCAGTAGCATCTCAAAGCACGTCTCTGTGGCAATTTTGATGCATATGTGAGGAAGTTGGATTCTGATAAATATGCAGTAGTTGATTTTGTTTGGACTTCTACAGTGGAGCTGTGCTATTTCTGAAAATGTCAAATCTTAGATTCCCACTGAAGATTTTCCCCGTGGTTCTTCCTTCAGATCTAGAATCCCTGCTCTGATAAGTGTTCTGCATTTCATGGGAGCAGGGACAAAAAGCAACAGGCTTTTTCCTAGTGTTGAAGTGTCTTTTATTCTACCTGCTCTTCCTTTACCAGTGTTGCTTCAGCAGCACACAGCAATTTTTTTTTGAGATCTTCATACAAAAGGAGAAAGAAGATGAGGTAAAAAAGAAGAGACAGGTGAAGGGAGCTAACAGACTGATAGCAGTGGTTGGTTGAAAAGGTTTGTTTGCTTTCAATTAGGTAGAAACATGAAGATAGTAACACATGCTTCCTTTGTAAGGAGGATAATCTCTTCTCAATCTTGAAATAATTAACATTTCCAACAGTAGCCTAGTCTTACTGTCCTACTGTACATTTTCTGGCAAAGCTGACCACGGGTGTAAACATTGACATCTTCTGTCTGGAGGACTGATGCTACCTTTTCATAAGTTATTTAATAATTTACTGAGTGTCATTTAATATAGGGATTACTGTGCACTTCTAGGCTTTAAAATATTACCTGTTTTCTTCTGTGTATTTGGACTTCAAATAGATTTAGAAGTATTTATTTGTACAGATCTCAAACCCACATCCTCAAGTGTACTTAAGTTTCTCTTTGCTCAGCATTCTGTTATCAGATCATTCTGGTTTTGCCACTTAACATCCTTCTTAACAGTGCACTAGTTGTTCCTATTCTTGTAAAATGCATAAGGATAGTTAGGTATCTAAATCAGAGGTCAATATAAACTAGAAAACTCAGTATCTATTCAGACATTCTCTTGGAGGCAGGAGTATCTTCAGTCATATCATATGCCTAAGTATAGACATGTTTACATGGGAAACTCAAGGAGAGAAGCACCCTTGAAAGGTGTCCAGTGCCTAGGACATTTCTCTGTGGGGTGGTGAATTGGCTTCTTGCTTTGCATTTCAGCCTGGGTTTTGCATATCCAAAGTCTTTGCATTGTGGACATACAAGATCTCTTGGCTGGGCTCCCTCATCCTCAACCCTTGTCCTGGCTTTTCTGTAACTTCAGTACGTGGTTTAAACTCTTGCATGTTGAATGATAAAGCCCATCTAAAAATTCACAGGTGAAGGTTCCAGTTGAATTTAGTCTTGGAACTGAGATCCTGAAGAGGCCACAAGATTTAGAGTGATGTCAATAGGTAGATAACTCTCTGAATAACAACTTGTGGCAAGTTGGTAGTTAAGCAGGAGATCTAATGGTGTCCAAAGCAGCAGGCAAGTGTCTGGCTGAATCTTTGTGAAAATCTGGGTTTCAAGTGTATTTCTCTTCCCCTTTCAGGATCTTGGAGTTTTACCACTTTTCTCTTTCGAATACAAACATTTTGTGCTGCAAGCATTTGTGCTATCAGATGGATTTGAAGAGCTCTGTACAGATGAATTAATAGAAAGGGAGAGAAGTATTAATGTTGCCATTTTTAACATACTGATTTCTCTTTACTGCAGTGAAAACTAGGTTTTCGTATGCCTTTCCAAAGGAGTTTCCTTATAGGATGAACCATGTAAGTATGCTATTCAAAATATAACTTGATCAAATAAATTAAAAGACAAATAATTGATAGGAAAAAAACCCTGTCTTTTACATTTTAAGAGAGAAATATTTTCATGGTCATATGTCAGGGTGCTCATAATTTTGGATAGATTGTCAGGAAGGTTGTTTTGAAAAGTAATAATCCTTCTGTAACCTCCATTCCTTAAATTGTTGAAAAGCTGTAAAGAGAGGTGAAGTGACTGAGTGACTAAAAAAGCAGTCTTTATGTAGTATGATGATAAGAGATTTAGCTTGGTTGGGTTTTGTTTTGTGTTCTTTTTTCTTGTATGTTCTTGTTTACAAGTATATTGCTTCAGGGAAGGTAAATAGCCTTTGCACCTGGGATGCTTCCAAGCTTGCACAAAGGAGCAGTTGGCTTAGAGAAAGCATTTTTTTGTCTGTAAAATGTAATGGCTTTTGAAAAATATTTTAATATTTAGAATTTAGATTCACTAGTGGTTTCCAGGCATTGTCAATCACAATGCTGAGAAAATTTGTTGTTTTTCTTGAAATCAGCTTTGACCTGTGATGTAGTATTTGAAAAGTTCTATTTGTAGTATTTTGAAAGGTCTGTTTTTAGATCAAGTACTACTTTTTTGCTTGTGTGCTTTTCACCCAATCTAGAAAGCCAAATGATACATCAGAATATAAAAATATCTAAGACCCTTCAATAAAGCTGTACTGCTGTTTTGCAGATAAAGGCAAATGGAAGTATTTTGGAGTACTGCTTTCCTAGAGTTCAGGCTGTCCAGTCTTTTCCTTTGTATCATTAACACATCACTGTCTTTATGGAAAATGAGCACTGATTTTATTGCTACAATTGGACAGAATATTTCATATTAAATTACAGCTGAAAATACATTAAAAGGCCATTTGGCATGTTAGTGGTCTGCTGAAGAGGCTCTAAGTCTACAAAATACTTCTCTAGCTGTTAAGTGCTTATACACTTATACACTTGATAACAATTTGCTGCTGCCAGGTTTTGAAACAAATCAGACAGGTACTGCCAATGAAATAATCTTTCATGGTAAACTTAATCCAAAGTGTTGAAATGCCTTGTTGCTATGGCTGGAGTTAAGTCATAATCGTGGGAAGGCAACAGCTAATAATAGTTTGATTTCTGTTTGGTTTTGTGGTTTCAGATAAAACCTAAGTGGGACTGCTGGAAATATATGTTGAGAATTTCTGTGCACTCATGATGTTAAACTGGATGCCAGTTAATTCTTTCTGCTGTCTGAAACATGCTGCTTTTTAATTGTGATTTTACCTCTTTGCAGATACTAGAATGTGAATTCTATCTCTTAGAATTAATGGTAGGTGGTTATTTTTTTTTTTTTAACTGTTGCCCCAGTTTACTTTTACTGTTGAATATTTTAAATTTTGTGCTATGAAACACACTTTATGCTAGCTGCATTTTTTTTTTTCTTTTTTTCCCCACTGTAATTTTAGGTTGATGTCCATGCAGGTCTAACATTTACGTTTAATGTAAAAGAGAATGCTGTAATTACTGTGCTGTTGTCTAGTCTGAGTGAGGGCATTCTCATCTCCTTGCATTGAAGGTGGACTTCTCAACAGAAAGAATGCAGATTGCAGGAGCAGTAAGGGCAGGAAGTGTATATGGCTCTGCATCCAAGTGGTTAGAGCACTACTGGGAAGGGTAAAGTGTAAGTTCTGTTGCCAGAACTGCTTTTGTTTTTCAGATAAAGGTAATTTTATATAAATCCTGATGCAGAGACTAAGATGTCAGTGTCCTTATTCCCCCAGATGAAGGGCCAGTCAAGAGCATAAAGAGTTGTATTATTTCTGTGCCCTCTTCTTCTTCTTACCTGGAAGAACCTCGAACTAGACAACATTCCAGCTTCAGCTGAAGGTGTAGGTAGTATTCTGCTCAGGCTAGCCTGTAATCTGATAATTAGAATAATCTTTTAGAGTTGAGGTGTGGGTTTGAATCCTGTGAGGAAAGAACTGAATTCAGGGCCTCCCATTTTCTAAAATGGTGCTGTAACTACCAGGCTGTTGGATGAAAGGAGCCCAATGTGACATTTTCTTCCAGGCACTCTCAAAGAAAGGAGCTGTGCCTGTTTTTTTGTAAGGGTGGTTCTCCCATTGCTGTGTTTTCTAGGGCAGCTGAAAGGATGCAGCCCAGGCTTCTTGTGGGGCTTAGGCAAAGTTGTGTGTAATTTCTGCATTTTGGTTGGACTAGGATGGGTTAGGCACTGAGCTTGCTGTACTGGAGTTGTTCTGCTCAAGCGCAGAGAAGAAAAGAGAAACCAGGAAGGAGCCTAGTGAGTTGGGCAGCAATGGAGAAAGGATATGTCTTGGGAACAGAGCACAGAGGAGGTTGGGTCAAAGTTTTTAACCCCTTTGTAGATACCCAGTTTAGATTTAGTCCTTGAAACCTCTGCTATGCATGGCATTAAGTCCTTAGTTTTGTATACAGGAATTTTATCACAACTAACTGCATTTACAGAAAGTTACATTTTGGGGATTAACTTATTTTTCCAGCCCACTGTATAATATATAGGATGTAGGTAATAACTGTGTCTCACTTCAGTGTTCAGCACATGTAACATAATGTGGCTTCTCCCTGTAGCCTCCAAGCAGTTGCCTGCTTTTTCAAGAGGGTTATTCCTTCTTGTTTACACCAACCTGGGCCTGAAAAGAGGGGATTTTGAGAGCAGTGGATTTTGAAATTTTCTTTCTCTCTTTCCAAACTAGTGTCAATTATTTTGACATGCTTTCCATGTATGGTAATTAGTGACAGACTGTTTTCTGGCAGTCTTTTGTATTTCCAAGAGGGAATTACGGGTTTGTAAGCAAATGAGGTTTCAGTGTGCTGCAGATGTGGCTTTCTGTGTCTCTTAGGGGAAGAACATTGACAGGCTGGCAACCATGCAATGTAATGGTATTCTAGAGAGAGCACTGCCCTCATTAGAGCAGGGCTAGGTGTCAGAATGCTACTTAAAAAAAAAATAAAACAGTAATTGACTTGTAAACCAAATGCTTTCAACATGAAGTGACATGACATTCTGCATTTTAATCTAACTCTTGTCCTGCTGACATTTTTCCTAGGACTGCTGTTTGATAGTATATCATCCTTATAGACCTTTGCTTCAATATGTGCAAGATATGGGCCAAGAAGACATGCTGCTACCTCTTGCATGGTAATAAAGACAATGATTAACAGCAAGAAAGCCAGTGTTTAACAGTCATGCTTCAAAGTTGGTTGAGGCATGCTTAGCCATATTTGAATACAAAGGGTGCCCTAGCTAATCTGTCCCTGACTTAGTTTATTCTCTGTTTAACCCTGTAATGATATTACTTTGCAGTGATCTATTTTTTATTTTTAGACTAGCTGTAATAACACAGGTTTTACACTACTGAGTGGTGACTATGAGTAGAAGTAATCTTTTTGTATTAATATCATCTTTCTGTTGTATTTAGTGATAGGAGGTAGCTAAAAACCCCTATATATTGCTTCTGTGTTAGCAAGAGATCTTATTCTTTTAACTGTTTCTCAAATACAACAAGGTAATAAAAATATTACCTTTCTGCTTGCCCTTACTTACCTGTGAAACAGGGACAATTATTTTATGGTATATGTCAACACTCTCTGCAGAATGACATTTATGAGGCCATAATACAGTGCCTCCAAATCAACTTCTGCTATGACTACAAGGAAAAAAATGAAAGGCTTAAAGATAATTTTTACATGGGAAGAGATTTCTACCCTTGCTGTTTTGCCCTGCAGCCTCACTGTTTCTACCATCTGGAAGACTGACAAAATATTTATAAACTGACAGCAGTTTTTGAAGTCATATAATCTGAAGGATGATACTCACAAGTTCTTTTTTGCACAGGAGGATAGTGAATGACACATATAGAACTGATCTTTGTCTGCTGTACCCTCCTTTCATGATAGCTCTAGGTAAGTAACACAAGTAATGCCACTTGTTTAAATTATTCTGTGCCCTGTCCCAGCAACAAGCATTCCTTTGAGTGCCCTCATAAGATGCTTCAGTACTTTCTTACAGCACTGGCAGTTGTAGCCTTGCAACTTAAAAGGTCTCGGAGAAAAATCAGATCATTAATCCTGAGTTTTCTCTGTTGAACTGTGCAGTGTTGATAAAAACCAGAATGTTTCTAACTTTGTCCAAAGTTGATCTTTGTTCACTGTCCATGTCACCTGGTCTTTGCAGCTTGCCTACACGTGGCCTGTGTTGTCCAGCAGAAGGATGCAAGGCAGTGGTTTGCTGAGCTCTCTGTTGATATGGAAAAGGTAACTAGTTTTTTCCTCCTGCCACCAGTTATGGACAGACCAGAAGTAGTAGTCATGGTTATAAAACTGCTGCCTTACCTGTCTGCAGTACTGATTTGAACTTGATTCAGTGATCATATGTTAGGTGCTGTTGAAATTAGGTAGATTTCTCAGGGAGGGAGACAATGCCAGGTCATTCAGTTGTAAAATTGTAGTCATTTTGGTTGGAAAAGACCTTTTAAGATCATTGAGTCCAACCGTTATCACCCTACTCTGAAAGTCAAGACAGAACCATTGTATAACAGCAGAGTGTTGCTGGTGTTGCCATTTTTCAGGTGGCACCAATACCTTTTGCATTTTTTTCCAGAAAAAGAATTCTGAGTGTTCTTCCTCATTCAAGATTGCCAGCATGAGTTTGACTTTTAAATTCTGCTGCATGTGATTTTCTGATTTGCCTTTCAGCATCATGCCTACATACTGCTCTCATTTTCTCCCTATATATAATATAGCAGAGTGGAAAACATTCTTGTCACTTTCAGGGTGATCAGGACCATGTTGAACAGGGAGACGCCAAGATCATTCACCTGAGCTCCCTGCTGTTGCAAATCCCATGCCAAATTATCTCCTTCATGAATTTTTCAGGTTCCAGGGTGCAGTTGTTATCATCCATGTTCTTCCATGTTCTTCATTCTCACTGGTTTCTTTTACTTTTTTTTTCCCCCTTATTTTTGGTTGACTTCTTTCACTTTTTTTAGCTTCAACAAGCAAGCCAAGCCAAACTAGTACTCAGGATACTCCTTCTCACACAGTTTCACTCTGCTCATGTTTTTCAGTCTTACCTTTTTGAAACTGAGTGTCCAGAATTGAACAGTGTGTTACAGAGGAGACCTGCCATAGCCCTCTGTGCCCTCTTTGTTGTCCTTTATCCCACTGATGGTATCCTGCCATTGTATTTGTATTCCAAGATTCAACTTCACATTTAAGCACAGTGTGGGTGCTCTGCTTCATCAAGAGTTCTGGGAGTTATGGTGTCATGCATGTAAAAGCAGGGGATAATAAATTTGTAGTAGAGGAGAACCAACCTGTATTTGACAGATGAGCTTGATACTGAACATGTTGGGATGTTTTCATGTCCTGGTTCTCCTACCAGTGATCCAATTTAAGCTTGATTTTTTTAACATAAGCACCATGGACCTCTTAGCCAACTATGACTTAAATTTCAAAGATATGTGTTGGTCTAGCACTTAATCAAAGTTCATATATTAAAAAGAAAAAATAAGTCTACCTTTTTAATTTAGCGAATGGTGAAACAAATTACAAGCCAAACACTATCCACATTTTATGCAGGATATTGCAATAGAAATTGAATAGGAGATGAGGGTAGCTGAGGTGCAGGACATAGAAAACATCCAAACTGGTAGAGACTGCTTATGCTTCCAGAAGTGAAATATGAAACTTCAATATATATATAATAAGAATATAATATAATATATTTATATAGTAAAAAGAACAAGAATGATAGAAAAAGTATTTAGACACTTAGTGATTATTTATTTCTTGGAGGAAAGGGATTCAGACCAATGTTTTGTAGTTGGGGCCTTTTTTTCTTAGACTGTGCCTCTGATGTGTACAGAATATTGATAATCATCAGTTACTGTATTTCTAATCCATGGTGATCTAGCTGCAGTTGTGCTGGCAGGAGTTCATGCTTTCCCAGTAACATGGGTAGAAGCTAATAAAAAGCTACTGAGCTTACAGAGAAGTGGTACATACAGTTGAATGGGAAAGAAAGGATTCTGTTCAGGCTTTCATTAGCAACTAAATAAAAAAACAAATTATAGATGTGGTTGACTGCCAGACCAGATAGAATGTGACACAGCTCTGTTTATGATATGAAAACTGCTGCTTAATTTTGGTTCAGGACATGTTTAATTAATTACACACTTAAACTGACTGTGACTAAGATAAAATCACGATTGTGTCTGACCTTGGGATCTCTTTTCTTTCTAACCAGATTTTAGAAATAATCAGGGTTATTCTGAAGCTGTATGAGCAGTGGAAGAATTTTGATGAGAGGAAAGAGATGGCTACCATTCTCAGTAAAATGCCTAAACCAAAACCACCTCCAAACAGGTACTGTACTTCTTTAATACACTTTTCATATGAAAAAACTGGACTACTATCTTAAGAAGGAGCCAGTGTTTAATTTGAGATATAGCCTGTTTTTTCAGTGCAGACTTTTCTATTAGCAATGACTAGTCTGCTAATTCAGGAGCCAGTGAGAAGCAGAACGTTAATTGCTTTATGGAGAGTGGGAATGTGATCAATACAGCTTAGCAAAGTGAGGAGCCATGGTGTGAGGCTGGGCCAGACTGAAACGGGGTCTGTTGGATGTCCCATGTCATTCCTGTGATTAAATATCACTGTTGGGAATCTACACGTGCAAATTCTTGTGCACACACATCTCTAATAGGAACTTCAGAGGTAGATTCAAGAGGCCAGTGCATGGGGATATATTGACATTATTATACAATGCACTGAAGTTAGTTGTACATCCTGGAAAAAAAAATAAAAGACCTTTGCATTTTTGTGAAACTGAGCAGAGTATCTTGATCTATTTATGTATATATTGAAGTGTTTTCCATCAAAAGGTTGTTATTACTTTTAGAATACGATATTTTTTAATAATCAAAAAAAGACAAAACTGTAATATGATGCTTCTTTTTGAAGACACATGCTTTTGTTTTTGTTTTTTTCTTCCAAACAGTGAAGGAGAACAGGGTCCAAATGGTAGCCAGAACTCTAGTTATAGCCAATCTTAAGACATTCCAAAGAATTTCTTTATGGACCACTCTGACTCAAGACATCCTGGGATCTTTCCTGTGTTCATGAAGTGGACAGAAGGTTTTGATACCATCTTTGACAAAGAACTTGAAGAATAAATAGCTTGTTTGTATCAAGCATTTGGAAAGCTTTTTCTTTCAAACTGCATCATTTTCTCTGACGCTGGAGCCAATGTACTAAGATTTTTCAGTGTAAGGAATCAAACATTAAACCAAGCTGCAAAAGATTAACACTATCCACTCAAAACAAATAGCTCATTATTGGTTTTTTGTTTGCTTGGAGAAAATTGTAACTTGCCATTGAAGTGAACTATTTTTAAAGCAACAGTAACCTGAAGCTTAAGTGTAACTGTATTAAGGAATTGTGTTGTCTTCATTTTGGTTGTGACTGAAGGGAAATCGTGCACTGTATGTTCAGTCTATTCATTACCTTGAGTTCTGTTGATTTTATAAAAATAAATAAGGGTTCTGCAACAAGTAACACAGCAATCCTTCAGCAACAAAGCCTAGAAGAGCCTGCAAAGAATATTCTTACAGTTTTAATGAAAGCTGCAGGAAAGAAAGTGAATTCCTCTTTTGGATTAGAAACATGCTGTTTTACTCAGTAGATGTACCTGGATGTTTTTGCCATGAAGCACAGTAGCCCAGCTTACCAGAGAAGTGCAATATGTGTAATGATTCTGCAGTTTTCTTCAGCATTTCAAGTGTTAGGAATTAAAACCACCCAACATACTATGATTTCTTTCCAAGTAAATGTACTGTTTGGTACAACTAGAATATTTCACAATCAAAATACAAATCTGGATATTATTGCTATTTTTTATGGTGAATTTTATTTGTACAAAAGGTAGACACTATTAGTGTGGATTTTTGTGGTTCATCAGAGAGTTTATTTAAGAGGATCAAGCTTTAGGTGAGCTTCATACTGGCTAATTTTAATTGTCATGTTAGGAGCAACTCTGTAGAATAATTGAAATGGGATTCCTTGGTGCTGGAGAAAATGAGATTCCTTCCAACAGAAGGGCCATATCCTGTGTTCCTTACTCAAGCAGAGATCCCACTGAAGTCAGGAATTGGCCTAAACTGAACTACTTGGTTTTTAGATGACTTTGTGCTAATTAAGTCTGTACTGCCTCATTTTGAAAGATAATGCCAGCTTGCCCAAGAACAGAAATTGAATGTTAAAATAAATGACAGTAACATGGTTCTTTTTTTTTTTCCTATGAAGAAACACATTTCACTAGTCTGAATTATTAGAGGGAAATTGTTGGAAACCCTTGCTCTGTGATGTGTCTTGGTTCAAAAAACGGATCCCTTAAAAAAAAAACACCCAACATTTTTGCAAATACCCATCTTTGTAATTGGCTGGTCATTCAGTGGAATCCAACTGAAGTGTGTTTGTATGTGGCCCGTCAGGCTACAAGCATTTCATTTCTGTTCAGGTTATTTTTGTAAAACATTAGGTAAACAAGCCCAAGCCACTTTGTTGAGCTAGAAAAGAGATACATTCTGGGTGTTTGCTACTTTGTTGCCATATGATCCATACCTTTTATGGCCACCTGATTGACGAAGTGGAATTTGGCTATTTATCTTTGTTTCTTGAAGTCTAAAATGTTCTCTTTGTAATGTGGACTTGGGGAATAGAAATAAACCAGTGCAACTTGACCACTGTGTGGAGTTCTTGAACAGGAACTGTTCTTCAGGTGAACATTAGTCTTCTCACATATACCACATCATCTTCTGAGACAGTTAATCCATTGAAATTAAGGATTTCACTCTATTAATGAAGAATTCTGGTTGGAGTGACTAGAAGTTTTCTTGCTGCTTAAGAGCCTTTGCAGACTTTAGTTCACATGTAAAAACCTAAAGGGCTAAAATATCACGCACTTCTTGATGGTAAAGAGAAGTATCTGAAGTAATTTCCCTACTGGGGAGGTGAGGGTTTTACCAGCTCTGATTCCAGTGTGAACAGTGAAAGGCAGTAAAGTGCAGTTGAAGGAACTGGAGTCAGTGATGACAGTTAAAAAAAGAGATGTAAATTGGAACAACAGGAAATGGAACATAATGTGAATTCAACAACTTTGCTACCAACCAAACAGAAAGAAAAACAAATTACCTTTACTGTGCTTCATTTCAAAGGAGAGAAATGTATAAAAAGGAGGTATCTCATGAAGAGAGGTAGCTGAAAGGCTTCAGAGATGATGTGGTTACAGGTGACAGCCGAGTGTCAAAGTAAACACAAACTATCTTTGCCAAAAATACTTTATGAAAAATCTAAAGGGAAGCAAACTGAACTGGATCAGATGAGTTCTTTAACTCAAAAAAGGTCATTTGAAAAGCAAGTTAAATCCACATCAGGAAGATACAGAGGAAGACACTGAAAGGATCAACTTCAACAGGCTACAAGTAGTTGGAGAAACACCTTGCAAAAAACCTACCAAGACTGATAAAAACAAATGAAAATAAAAAGAGGCAAACAGTGGCTGTCTTGTTAAAAATAAGTGCACAGATCTTCAGCTTGGAAAAGATATCAGAGGTCTAGAAAAATAATGTGTGAAGACTGATGAAGTGAGAACTGTTCATCAGTTCTGGCAGAAGTGGGAGCATCCAATGAAAACAATAGGTGGCAAGTTGAGAAGCAGCCAAGGGAAAGACGTCTTTCCACATGTTTTTGAACAGCAGCCTGCTGTGACTGCCAGGAGTTTGTGTTGAAAATTTAAAAATACCCAATACACACTGACACGATCTGGGGATTGTATCACTTACTCTGTTTTATGCTCTTCCTCAGGTGTTTATTTGTGTCTGCTGCCAAACAGAAAACAATGGGTTAGACAGATCTTGGTGTGACTCAATATAGCTGTTGTTTGTTTTTCCTGGCTATGTAGTTGTGATGTTCCCAACACACTTTACTGTAGCTACAAAAGGCAGCATTGGCCACTTGTGACTTAAGTTGATTAGATCTCCTTGCTTTGTTCATCTGTATACTGAAATTTGGTATCTTGGTTAATGCAACTAGGCATGATTTATTACACATTTAGTGAAATATTTTCAGTGTTTCTCCAATTTTTCTATCCAATCTGACCATAATAATCTAGATCAAAAGGCATCATTAGTCCTGGAGAGGCCTGGCACAAGGCAGCCAACAGTGGGCTTCAGTTGCCCCTTTGACCATGTGCCCACAATGCTGTGAAACTGGTAGCCTAGCTCATGTTAAACTGGCAAAATTAATAGATCCCAGGGTTTGGCTAAATCCAGAAGTGTTGGTGTCTGTTACTCCTTCTGATCCAGTCTGAAAAAAACCTTTAGGAGTAAGATACAGCAAGGTAACACCCAGATTCACCTTGGTATTTTAATCATCTTACTCCCATTGATTCAGTTAAATGAAACCAGTATTTCAGAAATCAGTCTAAATTATGGTTGCTTGGGGTTTTTTAATGTATTGGAAATGAAGTGTAGCAGTAGGAGCACTAAGTCAGTGGTATTTTGAAGAAAAATGCACTCATTAGTTATTCTTACAACAGTTACACTATAGGGTCTCTAACTATTAGTGAAGACAGGAGAACAGAAATCCCTGTAAGACACCACCAGGGCAGCTGTGCCAGATAAGGGAGTTCTCCGGAAACAAATGGCTGCAGAGAGACTGCAGAACTTATTAGAAAGAAAATGGCAGTAAAATCAGTTACTTTTTATTCTCTAGACTTGACGAGGCATATTTTTAGGTCCTCACCATGCAGACTGCACTGTCGGAATGGAAGAGCTGCAGGGTGAGTACACCTTGCCTGTAACACTGATGAAAGCAAACCAGAAATTTTAACTGCTTTTTCATCCTGCAGAGTCCTGAACTTCTGTGTTAGGACTTAAATCTTTTAGAGGCCAAAGCAATGAACCTTTTTTGTGTCCTGGAACTGCTAACAGCATTAAAAAGCAAACAAAAAAATCCTTAAAATCATGACTATGCAAATATAAAGGTGGGGATGGGATGGGTTGTTTAAAATTTAAGACATGCAAATTTATGTACATAAAAGAAGGAAGGGAGTTTAGTAATTTCCTTGGACACCTCAAATTTTTCAGCCTAAAATAATTACATCGCCATAATAGTAACTTCAAATACAGGCAAGTTCTCACTTGATACTGAGCTGCTCAGGGAACAGAAGTTGTTGACTGAATGTTACAGCATTTTGTGCTCAGAAACATCTGTGTATAAAAATGGATATACTTCTAAATTAAAAAATTGCACATCATTTTGCACAGCAAGTATTCTAGCATCAGGTCAGTTCCCTTTTGTATATTCTGATCTGTAGCAAAGTTTTGGCCTTAAAATCAATTAATACAAACCTAAAAATGTGTACTTTGCTTGTAGTCTTTGATAACACAGCAAGTGTTTTAAAACTCTAGGATAATAAATCTCTGCTTAGGGCAGTTACCCCAATTCCATTAGAGTATCTGCAGCTTAAATATTCTAAACAAACTACCCAACACAGTTACTTGAGAAAGAATTTTATTTGTCCTATCACCATTAATTTAAACAGTCATAAACTACATCATACAAAAATCTTAGTCAACATGAGCACTTAGGTTCCCTTCACATACTTTCACACAAAAACACAGACCAAAGTAAACACTGAACAAATTTAATATCATCTGCTCACGTCATAATCTTTAGATACCATTTAAAACAAGCAGTTGATGTGCAGGGCAAAAGAGGAGCAGGCTGTGTCCTGGAAGTGGAATGCACATGGTTTGAATGCTAAAAACCTGCAAACCATCCTGAAGCCCTGATAAGGCAAGGGTTAGGGCAGTCATCTTTCATTTTTTCTCTGGAGGTTCATGTTTTACCCAATCCTCAAAGCCACCAGAATATTGCTGAACTCTGAAAATATGCAAAAGATACAATGTTAGGAAGTATCCTGAAAAAAGTATCTAAGAGAACTTGGGGGGAAAAAAAAACAACCAGCCACAAAAATTGGAGGAAAAAACCCCATACAGAAATTCTCTGCAAATACTCCTGTACCTTAAATGAGGTACTTAAATGAGCCAGGTCGACATGCCTTGGATTCTAACACTGCCTGCTTCAGTGCAGTGTGTTCTGTAACTCTTTTCTTCCAGATGACACAATGCTGGAGATCAAACACCAAGCAAGTAGCAGCAGCTGAAGCAATGGAACAGTGCTGCTGCTTTGTTTAAAAAGAGAAAACGGCCTCATTGCAGCCTGAGATTTAGATGTTGTTGTCTGACACTTCAGATGTCAGTAATAAATAAAGCACACTGATCTTTACTTCCTTGCAAACCTACATGCTCCTAAGCCTGCACAAAACTAAACTGGAACAAAAACCCACCATGCAAAACAATACTCACTATTTCAATTAGCAGCATGAAAAGCAGGTAATGGAGGATGTTTTGCACTTAGTAAACCAATATATTTATAAACCAAAATCGTGGCTCCAAACTTTTGACTAGAATTAGCAAGGATAATCCACTACAGCTCAGCAAAAACATAAGTAAACAGCCAATTTTTAAAATTCTATCTGCAGTCCTCAAGTCCACGAGGCACCTTCTGGCACGGGTGTAACAAAACTGCCAACCAAACACTGCTTTCACTTTCACTCTGACGATTTAATGGTCTTTTTAGCTATTGCCTTCACTGCTTTATCCCTGACAAACAATATAACACTACTGAAAGCAAAGGCATACTTTGGCAACACTGAACTGTACAGGGGGAACTGCAGTTTAACAAAGGATTTGGTTTCATCATTGAATCCAATGTAAGATTGTATTTCTACCAGAGCGAGCTGCTCTCCTCCAATCATCCTGCTCCTCAGGACTGCTGCTCATGAAGCTGTATAAGGAAGCAGCATCTTGAAGAGGGAGCCCTCAGAGGCAGAAGCACCCTTCATAGCAGCATGGTCTTGCAGCAGCTTGTGTCATCTGCAGCACAGGTGCAGAGCTGCCCAGGGTTTGTTTCACAGGGCAATACACCTCACTTTGCTGGAACACCCAATGGCGTCTTTCCAGGTTCAGTGGATGTAACAAGAGGAGATGTCTAACTCAAATGGCTTTGTTCATGTTCCACATTCAATTTTTTACCCTTGCCCACAGAAGCTGTGAACTTCTACTTCCCAGGGGGGGACCATTCCTACACAGAGCAGCTTACCTGCTGAAACCCAAGGACATGGCAAAACCCAGTGCTTGTTTACTTCTTTTTCCTGCCAGGCAGGAGAAAACCACAGGGTCTGACTTGGCTGGCATCTTTTGGTTGTACTGCTCCTTGAACTCTGCTGGGTCCATCTGCAGAGCTTCCACTAATTCACCCACTGGGAAATACGCACACACACACACACACAAAAAGAAGTCTCGTTTACTCTCCCTCCACAGACAGGTCTCCAGTTCCCCTGGAGGAAAGCTGAGGAGCAGAGCACAGCAGCTGTGCAGCACACACGGCCCGGCCTCTGACTCAGACCTGACCCTCAGGCCCAAGGGAACAACCCAAGGTCAAACTTACACGGGATGTTGATGGACGCCGGGATTTTCCCAAACTTCTCGATCTCCCACCTCTCCCGCACATCGATGTGGAGGACGTTGCTCGACTTCAAGTCCTTGAGCTGCTGGGAGGAGAGGCCGGGCGCCCCGCGGGAGCACAGGCCGCGGCCGGCGGCCCCGGGACCTGCCGGAGAGGCGCAGCCCGTTTCCTTTCCTTTCCTTTCCTTTCCTTTCCTTTCCTTTCCTTTCCTTTCCTTTCCTTTCCTTTCCTTTCCTTTCCTTTCCTTTCCTTTCCTTTCCTTTCCTTTCCTTTCCTTTCCTTTCCTTTCCTTTCCTTTCCTTTCCTTTCCTTTCCTTTCCTTTCCTTTCCTTTCCTTTCCTTTCCTTTCCTTTCCTTTCCTTTCCTTTCCTTTCCTTTCCTTTCCTTTCCTTTCCTTTCCTTTCCTTTCCTTTCCTTTCCTTTCCTTTCCTTTCCTTTCCTTTCCTTTCCTTTCCTTTCCTTTCCTTTCCTTTCCTTTCCTTTCCTTTCCTTTCCTTTCCTTTCCTTTCCTTTCCTTTCCTTTCCTTTCCTTTCCTTTCCTTTCCTTTCCTTTCCTTTCCTTTCCTTTCCTTTCCTTTCCTTTCCTTTCCTTTCCTTTCCTTTCCTTTCCTTTCCTTTCCTTTCCTTTCCTTTCCTTTCCTTTCCTTTCCTTTCCTTTCCTTTCCTTTCCTTTCCTTTCCTTTCCTTTCCTTTCCTTTCCTTTCCTTTCCTTTCCTTTCCTTTCCTTTCCTTTCCTTTCCTTTCCTTTCCTTTCCTTTCCTTTCCTTTCCTTTCCTTTCCCCTTTCCTTTCTTCTCCCTAGTGAATCCTTCCGATTTCTGACACGACACCGATGACACTTCCGCACACTCGCACGCGATGAGTTTCCGTCCGGGCATTGCCCTGGTTCAGGGCAGGCCTGGGTTTCAGCAGAGCTGCGAGATGGGTGGATGAGCAGCGGATCTGCCCGCTGACGTGCAGTCATAGAAGGGACCTTAAAGACCTTGTTTCTAACCCCCCGTGGGACACCTTGCACTAGACCAGGTTGCTCAAAGCTCCATCGTGACACTGTTAACTCAGGATGTCCCTTTGGTTTCGGCGCATCCAGCAACTGCTGCTTTGCCAGGTGGGGCAATTCCCGCAGCTGAGACAAGCTGCTGAGGGGCCTTGAAGTACCAAAGGCTGGGAGGCTGAACAGGGTTGAGACATTTTGATGCCAAATTAACTTTAAAGCAATTCCAAAACAACACCTGTTTTAGATCTGAGGAGAAAAGGCTATTTTAGCATTGGCCTGCACTGCCTCCATCCTTGCCACTGTCCCTTCAAAGCCACAGCAGCTGTGGTCCAAGGGTAACAACTACATCCCCAAGTGTAAATACACTTTGGCTTTTAAAGCTGTCAGTCTTCCAACCCCAAGGACTGGTGGGCCAAAACGTGTTGTAAGTGGAGAAATGAGGGTCCCTCTGTTCAATGTGTTTTCAACCAGTACTCTGTGTTTACTGCATACCATTGGAGAGACACTACGTACCAGCAGCTCCAGTCTTTAAAGGCAGGTATGCTGGATCTTCTCTTAGAAGATGCATTCTGAGGAGTGTGTTGTTAAACCTTTAAATACTGAGTTTCCCTTCTCAAAACGAGAACAAAATATTTCTCAGTACTGTAATGTGTGACAAATTGAACCTGGCACATATAACTGGTTCACTAGCTGCCCTTCTGCCAGCCTCTCCATATGGCTGCCTTAACAGGCATTTGCAAATTGTCTCTTTGAAGCAGCATATCTGTATATGTTGAAGTTTTATGCATTTTCCATTTTCAACAAGGTATGGGTAGAAACCACTACTTGAAATTCTCTCAATTTATGTTATATATTGCTATAAGTACCACAAAGTGTGAGAAATGGACTTGCAGCTGCATTTATCATCGCATGTTCTTCATCTTCTCGTGTGGCTGAAGCTTTCATTGATCAGAGAAATGGTTCACAGACCTAGGTTTCCATCAAGTCTTACTGCCTTCCTGATTTTTTTGTACCTGCATCTTCTTCTGACTAACATCTGGGTTTTTTTCCCAAAAAATTTTTGGCCTTGCTTTACTATTTGCTTTGGGCCTTTCCTTTCTTTCTCTTTGCTTTCTTTCATGCCTCTGATTGCTGATGCTCTTTCTGTTTCTTTCCTCTTGACTCTCCATTTTCTCTCATTAACAAACCCCAGACATGATTCAAATTCAACATTTGCTTTCTTTGCCTCCACTCTTGTGTTGTGCAATGCTTCTAGAGGAAAGCTGGAGACCTGGTTGATTCCTGTGACAAATCTGTCTTCCTAACGTGCAACTCAATCTATATCCCATGTTTCCCAACAAAACAGGAACCTATGCATAAAACCTGCTGTCATCACTCCCTGCACTGAATACACACCATTCCCTTTGAGAAAAATTTTCTCACTTCATCTTTTCCACCTTATTTGCTTGCTTTCCCCTTTTGCCCTGATGTTCTATCTCTTCCAGACATTTCTGTTCTCTCCTATGCTAAAAGAATATATTGCCCTTCACATCACACTGCCCTCCTTTCACACATGTTCACTTTTCCTTCTCTTTAACCTTTTAGTGCAGTTACTGCTCTTGCAGTGCAGGAATTCTCTAATCTCTCCTTTATGGAAGAGGAAGAACCCACTTCTCAAACAGATTTGTTTCAGACTACTGCCCCATATTCTTTCTCCCCATCCCATACAGACTCCATGAACACAGCATTCCCAACCAGTTACACGGTCTGCAGCCTCCCTGCAGAACTTTGTGCTGTCACTGAAGCGCCTAAACAATTCCTCCTACCTACAACAAACCTTGCTTAATCCGTCAACCTCTTTCAGCAACACTCTTCTTGACAACACTCTTCCTTGCTTCCCCCAATGACTTACACACACCTCTCTAACCTCTCTTCCAGCTTGTTTCTCAGCAGATCCACCAGGGGATCCCCTGTTGTTTCCTGAGGGGTTCCACAGCAACTTCACCCTTTCCCCCTCGTTTTCTCTCACGCTGTATTTCTGCATAGTGTCGTTCCCATGGAACTACTCTCCCAGTCCTTAACTTCCCCCCCTGGCCAAATAAAGCCCCCCTTGCTGCCCAGGCAGGCTGAATTCCACCTCAATCCCTACTACCTCCCGGTCTTTCAGCAG